TCTGAGGAAGGCGAAATCCGCCGAAACGTCAGCTTGTGCGTAAATAAAGAAATAAAATAGCATCTCGTGCTTGCTGAACAAAAGTAGAAAGATATATATTGATGTATTTATTCTTGCCTCACGTATACCCTGCATGTCAATATCTATATGGAGGTGTATAGCACAGTGGTTAAAGGTGCCCTGCAGTTCACACACGTGGTCGTTGGTTCAGCCTTGTGCCCCAGAACCACTATTCTCCCCATTACTCAAGAGTTAGAAAAATGGTACGAGACTTGTCCGGGAAGATAGAACCACTGACTCGAAGCATCGGTAGGCCACCGCAAGCTATTGTATAGACCAAGTGTGGACTCATCCCTATCGATGTTTGATGACCTGCGTGGCGCACCCGTCAGGGATTGATCAACTATGAAAGCTTTGTCATCGATGCGCATATTTCCCACTGCAGTAAGTCTGCTCAGGTTAAGTTTCCAATTTTTCATTACCTTGCCAACTTTGATTGCTTCTAGAATGTTTAGCACCACTGATTTCCTATATTCGACACAAAAAAGATAAAGCTGTCGGCGTTGATCAATCTTTGAGGGATGCGCCATGCATTCGACCTCAGTCAATATCGTTGAAGGTGACGGAATGCATATCTGGCCTTTACAATGACTCGCCGTTGTTTATCGATTCATGGACTCAATGTTGCTATCTTCCCAGACAAGTCTGGTACCAATTTGCCGAACCCGTAGAGATGAAAGGCTCAGTGAGCCTTGGGCACGGCGATCGATCCCATGTGTATTGTAGGGCTCGTCTGACCACTGCGCTTCCAGCGAGGCGCACCCCACAATAGACATAAAGATGAAATATTTCTTGACGTCTACAACATGATTTAATACAGTGGAGTTTTTCTTCTAACTTTCTAGTATAGGTGTTCAACGAGTTGCCTCTTTGTGCTGTAGTGAGCAGTCGACTTCTGTGTATGCATGGTGGTATTTCACCACAAATTCAATCATGGGATGCACTTGTAAACTTGCAAGTATGCTGGCATAGTAATTTTACTAGTGGACTTTATTATTATTAATGAATGATTATTTATTTCATTTGTGTAAAGTTTGTTTTATCTTACTTGTTATGGTAGGTTTAGAACTGTAATGAAATCTATGCAGGTTACTGATAACTAACGGAATATGTTTACTTGAGAGTCAAACTATACGGCATAGCTCAAAAACTGAGTAATCGGAAGGTAAATAGGGAAGAAAAGTCATGCCGATCAAAAGATTATTGCATTAAAAGAATGTCGGATCGAATCTCAAAAATGTTAAACGGTCAGAGAATTTGAAATATAACCACTATGATGCCGAGATATTTGCAAAACTCCGAGACGCAGGTGTCTGCGATGGGGATCGAAACTGCGATTACAAGGGGGTAGCGTCTTCACCACCACGCCATGGGGAATCCCTTATAGTTCTGGATCATAATGCTTAGATTACAAAACTGTGTGTCTTTGAACATTCTCACTAGTCTCGTTGATGGGTGATTGCTGATGGCACCGTTAGGTAGAAAGCCTGCTGAGAGAAAGGTGAAGCAAGGACCTCAATGGCGCAGTGGGGTAACACGTGAGTTCCCGGAAAGGGCAGTGACAGGTTCGAATCTGGCCTGGGGCCCAACAACTGCAAATATCGCACCGTTATAGTGGTTGTGTTCTCACTACTATTCCCTTACGAAGGTTTAAATGTCGTTTTACAGAAGCCAAAAACGCCTCGTGCTTGTGATGAAGGCATAGCTGTGGATTTAATGTGGTCCGATCCCTCTATGGATTCCTGTACCGGGTTCCAGTTCAATACGGTACGCAATTAAACATTGCCAACATCACTTGTAAACTACGCTATACTAAACTCCACGCAGAAAGCCCTTTATAATATCTGGCCTTCACCAAGACTCGTGGTGGCCTACCGATGTAGCAAGCCAGTGCTGCTACCCTCCCAGACAAGTCTAGTAGCAATTTGCCGGCTCAGGAGGGATAAAAGGCTTGGTGAAGCTTGGGCGCTAGGATTGATCCCATGTGTACTGCAGGGTGCCTTCGACCACTGCTTATTGAATAACATCAGAGGTGTGCAGGAGAAGTGCTATTGTAGGAGGTGCTATGCAACACACGCATGTTCACTGGTTCAATCGCTGCGCAGCCTCTCAAGCCTCCCACATCTCGTGGTCCGCGCACATATTAGCAATTGGGGAGCTCGAACTTATGTCATCAATCTAACCCTTTTATTTACTGCCTTTTTCTTCTTAATGGCAGGGTATGTTGCGAAATATAACTCGTATGAAATGCTGAGATATTTGCAAAACTCCGGACCGCAGGTGTATGCAGTGGGGAACGAACACGCGCTGTTGTGCTTACTGGGGAGCAGCGCACTTCACCACCACACCGTCCGGGTCCTTCGTCTTGCCTGTCTCTCAGCTAGTTCTACATGTGAACTAAGGCAAAATTCCACAATACCATAAGAACGGCTCCTGGTTAGATCAAATTGTAGATCTTAGAAGAATTTTATGGAACAGTAGAGTTAAGGAAATCTCTCGTGTTTTTAATGATATGCAACCAACTCCTATAAGTCGTGTTATTTACAGAGGAGCTATAACGAATTAGGAGACTTAACATGAAATCATTTCATTAACTATGGAAAGGACTCACTGTGCCATTTATTCCACAAGCCACTTTTACAAATGGCCACTTATTACTTAAAGCTCATTTATTTTACAAGTGTTAGTTAGATTTCTATCCTCACATTAGTCGTTTCAGACGCGAGCCACTTCCTACATCTTTGGCGGCGATACCATTGCGAACATCTGCTCAATGCTTGATATTTCGATGGTGGTTCGAGCTCATGAAGTTGTCAAGGTGACTGCTATGGATTGACGAGGTTTTTAAAGGATTTAAGACGAGGACTTTACAAGTGTTCACATGTAAATGAACAACTATTGTTTATTACATAAAGTGACGTACGCACTACACAAGTAGTTATTTCATATCTTCAGTTTTATCCGTACTCTTATATTTATACATGCTGTATTGTTACTGTTTCAAGTAAGTGGAGTTGCGAAATATAACCACAGTGATGCTGAGATACTTGCAAAACTCCTGACAGCAGATTTCTGCGGTGGTGATCGAACCCGCTATTACCCTTTCCGGAGACTAAAAAGTTCAGCACCAGACCATGCGGGTCCCTCGTTTCGCCTTTCTCTAAAAAGTGTTTTAACGTACAGAATAGGTGCTATCAGCAATCATCCAAGATTGTGATTTGCACTACAGCTTCAGCTTAATTGGGTTTAACGCCGATTTGTGCTCTCCAGATCAAACCCGTTGACGGGTAATTGCTGGTAGCAACTATAGCTTAAAACACGGGTGAGAGAAAAGCGAAACGAAAGACACACATGATGTGATGGTGAACATGTTAAAAGCTCTCGCCGTTGATCAATCCCTTAGTGATGCCCTATGCATTCGACTTCATTGAGCATCGTTTGGATGTGACTGAATGCATAATTGGCCTTTACAATGACTCGCGTATCGAGCTAGTGCTGCCATCCCCCGAGACAAGTCTGATACCAATTTGCCAACCCCGGAGGGATGGAAGGCTTGGAGGTCATGGGCACGGGAATCGATCTCAGGTGTGTTGTTGAGCCCCTCCGACCACTGCGTTACACCCGCCGGAGTGTGAGCACCTTAACTCCCGGAAGTGATGATAACGTGTTCAATCCTCACCGCAGACACGTGCGGTCCAAAGTTTTGCAAATATCTTAGCATATATTCGACATCATACTTTGCCACGAAAACAGAATAGACAGTATATAAAAAGTGACTACATAAGTGAGTCCTGTTAGTACCATGCGCAGTGCAATGGTTCGCGGTTTGCCTCATTACACATACTCCTTAGTTCAGTCGCTCGCTCGTAGCGAACCGACCCTTCCTCCCAATCTCTTGTGAGCTGGCAAATTTGCACAAGGCACGTATCAAATAATGCAGTTGGGGAGAAGCGTGCCTTAGGGATTTCCCAATGCTGGACGTTTCAAAGCTTATCCTTTGTTAACAGTTTTATTCACTGCCTACTGTTTTTAATGGTAGGGTATATTGCGAAATATAACTTTCAACGGTGCTGAGATATTTGCAAAACTCCGGACCGCATGTATCTGCGGCGGGGAACGAACGCGCTGTTGTCCTTTTCGGTGAGTAACGCGTTCACCACCACACCATGCGGATCTCTGGGTGATTGCTGATGGCAGAGATTGATAGAACTAGCTGAGAGACAGGCGAAACGAAGGACCCTCATGGTGTGGTGGTGAACGCGTTGCTCCTCGGAAAGGCAATGGCGCGTTCGTTCTCCACCGCAGACACCTGCGGTCCGGAGTTTTGGAAATATCTCAGCACCGTTGAAACTTATCCTTTGTATTAAAACCAATTTGAAAAAGATATATATTCACGTCATCAACTTGGTTAAGAATTGATGTGTCCTGTAATTAGCGAGTCCAGGTTATTTGGGTACTTCTTCGTGTGGTAAATGAGTTAATATTCCTAAATAACGAGTGGTCAACATCAGAAAGGAAGAAACGAATAATCGACAGAGGTATCAAATACGTTAAGTTGCTGCTAAACGGTTTTTGATGTGAAGGATAAGGCGTGCTCATGAAAGTCGGTTGTTTTGCTCATGAAAGGCTGTTTTTCACAACTTTTCGAGCGCTAGAATATCACTAAGATAAGCGAATAGCTAAAGACAAGACCTCCTAGAATACGGATGAGCGTATGCTCTGTCCCAGTAAGAATACTACATGTCATCCAAGAAACATTCTTGTATAATATCCTTGTAAAACGGGGCGTATAACTTAGTGTTCGGAAGCACCCAACAGCACACATGGCTCATCAAGGTTTCCATCCCTCTGGGGTCTGCAAATTAGTGCCAAACTCGTCTGGGAGGGCAGCAGCACTGGATTGATACACTGATAGGGTTCTGCAAGTATCGTCTAGGCCAGATGTGCATTCAGTAGCCTCTAGCAATGCTTAACGAAGTCGAATACATGCCGCATTACGCAAGGATTGATCAACAACGAACGCCTCTTATCCTTTCTATCCCCCATGAAGTGTTTATTCCACTTAATGTTATCAAAATTTTCTTGCTTGTTACACCCTTCGTTACACAAATCTACAATTTGATGTTGACTTTTAATCTGTGGTAGATTTAATAGTCAGATTTCAACCACAGTAATATGACTGTGTGAATTTTGAAAGAGGAGGAAATGAAGGAAATGAAATGCATTCGTGATATGGTAAGCATCAAGAAATGTTCTCTAGTAGCGGGAAAACGGGGGTCATATTTCCACCACTGCACATTCATCCTCTGATCTTCTACCCTTCAAATTTACTCATGTACGATCTGCTCACATTCAAGTAAATCTAGCCTTGCTATTTGTAGGACGGACACCAGTTCCTGTTCGATAAAAAACTAGTCACAATGTTCTCGGCTCCGAACTACTGTGGAACCGATGGAAACGCAGCCTCAGTTTGTGTTTTCTTGTCGGGGAAATAAATTTCAGTTTATGGCTAGTTATTACAGGTTATGAAGGTCTCAGGTGATTTAGAGATCTCGTTCATTACATTAAAACCTCGCCTCGATACCAATCGCCTAAGTGAAGAGAAACGCCTTCTTATTGAAAAGATGTTAGCTGACTCTATGGCCAAGAGTCCGGATCCATGTAAGTGTGGACGATTACTCCACAAACAACCTCTCATTGAATTTTAACTTTCTTGTACACGTTAGGTTATGTCAAAATGAGGTCAACTCATTTCAGATTCTCGACTATTAACTTCCAAAAAAGTGACAAAGAATAAGGACGCAAATTTCGACGACAGTAATCTCATAGGACCTCCTCCAGTACCAGGAAAAGTGGCAGCTACAGTTGGCGCGTACTGGAAACATTTTCAATTTTCATAAAATTTAACTTGCGAACGTTGAATTTGGCGCTCAATGCTATCTGTGCTCCGATACTATATATCACAAAAACCGAAGCACAGATGTGCAGTAACAGCCCATGACAACGTTTCCCTTTATGAATCATATTGTCCAAGAATATACTAATTTACCCATGTAATTTCAGATATGGATTTAAACGAGAGGGACAATGAAAAACCATCCTCTTGCAACCAGCCGCCCTCACTTTCTCCGTACTCTGATTCCCCACAGGGGAAACAAGAGTTCATAAAAGGTGTACAGGCTGACAAAAAGGACACATCATTTAGCAACACACTGAACGTGCTACCTCCGGAGAAGAGTGACACAACCCCATCTCCTTCGTATCCAAAATCTACTGGAATATTTTCTCCGGCCAACGTACAAGCAGCAAACTCTGCAACTTCTAAAACCGACGTGGCGAAAAATAGCGCTAGCGACGCTAAAAACCTTACCTCTGGTGACACTACAGCCAAGATAGAAGCCACACAACACACAACACCTAGCGTACAAATCCCACAACTGCTCCCTGTCCCTCCTACATCTAAATTAACAACAATCCCAGTTTCCAAAGATGATTCGTCTAAACAACGGATGCCAACAGAATTAAGACCTAAAAATATCACAGACACCGAAGGCAGCAGCATGTCAATATCGGACTGCGTTCCTCCTTCACCATCAGCCACGACCGGAAAGCCTCGGAGTGTAGCAGAGGCAACAAAAGATGCTATCGAATCAACTAAAACACCGTCACGTCCATATCCTAAGAGTCCAAATGAAATCATCAGCGCTACGGAAAATGCCCTTAAGAATCAAAAATGAGCGCCATCTAAACAGTAAATCATTCTATTGCTTGTTGTATAACTCGATAATAATCCCTACTGAAATATTATACTGTTCAGAGCCTTTTTTCCACAGAGTTTCAGTACCTTGGTTGCTTTTAAGGATATCTGGCCATATTGAATAGACAGAACATTCGTGGATAAAACTATTTCGATACTTGTTATTTACATATCACAATAAAAGACGTATATCGAAAGTGAGCCCAGTTTTCTGGAATGAGAAAATATATTGCATTACAGCTGAACGGTGATAGGAAAAGCACTGCAGTCAAAAACAGATCATGGGAATTAGGGCTCGATATCGACAACTAAATCACCAGCTGCACATTTTGTTCCTTTCGATAAACAGATTTTCTTCACAGTACCCGCAATAGGCGAATCAATGACCATTTCCATTTTCATAGCCGACAGCACGAACAGTGGTTGTTTTGGCACAACCTGAATATAATTATCAATTCCTGTTATTTAGGCAGATGCTCATCGCCATGAGAACTTTTTGTGAAATCACATTCCACACAAACGAAACAAACGCGCTCATTAGGAAATAACCTTATCTCCTTCTTTAACTTTAAATTCGAGGATTTCACCAGGCATTGGCGCCCCGATAGATCCTCGAACTCCAAGGAGCGCCTTTGGATGGGTCACGATTTCCTAAACATGGCAAGACGTTAGAAAGCAATCTTCGCCACTGATTAGCATGTTCATCCAAGTGTTCATTTTCTAATGCAGACTAAACGGAACTCGTAGCGACATAACCATCAAAATTTCGATACAGGACCTACCTTAGATGCCTCCTTGTCCTGAACAAACATACTCCTCATTTGTCCATTAAGGTAGAAGAACACCTCACGTTCGCCTTTTTCGTTCAGCTTGCCTTCCGCTAAAAGTTGGATCGCTAGCTTCTTTCCGCGCTCGATCTCCACCTAAGACACAGAAATATCTAACTTGATTAACTTTAGCCCAACCTTAAACTAACACATAATGTAAGAACATTCCAAAAACGATTCAAACCAACTGCAGAGAGGTGGGAAAGTGAAACTATTAATAAAAAAGAAATAGAAATATATACGTCGACTTCTTCGGCAATATCTAATCCTGTGAAAAATATCCTCGTAGGCAATTTGTCGACAGGTCCATACATCGAACGGAACCGCTCAAATTCATCGAATACGGACGGGAACATAGCGTATGACATGACATCTTGATCCCTAAATGTTAGCGGATGGTTAAAAAACGGGAAAAAAGCAATCTCTTGACTTCTCAACCACTACACAATTCCTCGTTTTGGATACCTTAGGGTTCTTCCATGCTTTTCCTCTAGTTCCTTCTTCACTTTATCAAAATCCATAGGAGGCATATTTTCGCCAGCTCTTCCTTCAATCTATAACAATCTACTATATTGGAGACGTAAATACAACGTACGGTAGCATGAACTTAAAATAGAGGAAAAAAGTACCTTGGGCTTTCCACGAAGTACTTTGGTTCTCAATGGCTCTGGAAAACCATAAGGAGGTTGACCAACATATCCCTAAACCTGCGAACTACAAACTCGTCAATATGTGTGCAACGAAGGAAAACTGAAAACAAATCCTAGCTCGAAATTAACCTGCATATAATCCACAACACTTTTAGGAAAGGGTAAGTCGTCCGCACGATCAACTAGCGTTTCGCGAGTAAGACGATTTTGTACCATAAATTGAGCTAGATCACCAACAATCTTCGATGAAGGAGTAACCTAAAAAATAATAAAACATAAGCAAGGATTGTAAGGATAAGGACTGCCAAACAAATTAACCTTGATTATGTCACCTAGAGCGAGATTGGCTTCGTGGTACATTCGCTTGACTTCGTCAAACTGGTTGCCAAGTCCAAGTGAGAAAGCCTAAATCCCTACAATAAAATCAAATTCTTTAGAACAGATTGTTCCCATGAACTGTAAGTTTCGGACCGAGAAGAAATGCTTTGGGGATGCCAGTGTGACTGTACCTGGAATTGCAAGTTGGTATATTGACCTCCAGGAATCTCATGCCTATACACATCGGCATTTCCACTTTTCATCGTAACGGCACATTCAAATGGAGCATATAGCAGACGGGCAGATTCCCAATAAGCGGAGTATTTAGAGATTTCATCCAAGCTCAATCCTAGAATCAGATTGAAATAAATAAATGAAATTCGTCCATAGAAAAAACACTACAGACCTGTATCATGTGGGGTTCCTTGAAGACAGGCAACTATTGCACCCATACTAGGCTGACTGGTCATACCACTCATACTGTCCACCGCTGCATCAACAACATCGGCACCAGCCTGAACACCCGGGCCATCCAAGTAAACATCTCAGTTTCATTCAAATTGGTTAATAATATAGTCAAATGGAAGCAAAATATTTCTACTCTAGTTAGAAAAAATTCAATATCCTCGTTTGGTGAAGGCCCAATTAGGAATAACTTGGACTCTCTAACCTACCTTAGCACATTCAAGCATAGAAGCAACTCCAGCGCCAGCAGTATCATGCGTATGCACATGAATAGGAATGTCTGGAAACTTATCCCTCAATGCTCCAATCAGCATTCTTGCGGCTTCCGGCTTTAGGACGCCAGCCATATCCTTCAAAAAAGTTGTTCTCAACACAGTGTTTTAAAATCTCGTCTAATTAATGGCATTCTTTGAATGGGAAAGTCTTCGTGAACAGAATGTGATCTTGATGAACATCATAGAAGTCAGTATAAACGGTGAGAGAAAAACTACAGTAACCTGGATTGACAAAACATACACACCTTGATTGCCAACACATGGGCTTGAGCTTTGACGAGTTCATTAGCAAGATCAAGATAGTACTGAAGAGTGTATTGTGTTCTCGTTTTGTCCGAAACGTCTCCAGTATACGAAATTGCAGCTTCGATCTAGAACATCACTTATAATACTATTATTAAGCTTCCTAGGGAACATATCTTTATCCTCACGCAACAACACAGATTCTTACTTTTGAGTGTAGCGCAGTGGTCGCAAGCGACCCAATACACATGAGATCTTAATAACTCGAAAGACCGACTTTCTATGAACCTCGGCATAAATAGTTGATATATTTATTTATGAGATCTTATAAACTGATCTTCTTAAGCTGACGCGAGGTTTGTACAGATCTTCGTTGTCGTTGTCGTTGTCGTTGTTTTTGATGTTATTGATCGATGGCTGACGTTTCGGCGACTTCGCCTTCCTCAGAGCCTGGACGTACTTTATGTTAGAATACTTTTTATTATTCGGTGGAAAAGAAGGTTAAGGTATTAATGAAGATCAAACTTTCAAATAGACG